AAAAAAAAAAAAAAACTCAAGGGAACAAAATAAATAATATTTATTACAATTTTTAAAATAAATAATACAAAAATCCACTATTAACAAAATATCACATTTTAAAATAAAGACAAGATCAAAAATGGTGCTGTGCAGTCATGTTAGAGGCTGAGGCAAAAAGACAAACTAGTAATACTGGGTTTCTCAGATCTGCTTCTATAGGCCGGTAGTTGCCTGAGAAAGTACTGGAGGATGTAGATACTGCAAATTTAGAAATGTTTTAGAGACAATGTCTAATTAACTCATCTGTAGTAGCCTGTGTTAATTGTACATGTGTATGGGATGATATCTGGATTCACAGGCTATAAAACAACAGGGTTGGCATTTGGGTTTACATATCTCCAGCCCTAACCAAAGGTGGGAAAACCACTATTTTGGGAAAAATGTTAACTAGCTCAAAAGATACCCTGATCAAAGAAGAGAGAATTAAAATCTCTCTCAAACATCCAAACCTCTAGCTCTCTAGTCTGCCCAGTTAATAAAGCCCAAAAAGCAACATATTTCTGTTTAACACAAGGCTGTGTGAAATGGAACAAGTTGACTCCATTCTCTGAAACTTCCTTTTTTTTTTTTTTTTAAGTTTATTTATTTTTGAGAGAGGGCATGTGCATGTGCGTGTGCGTGTACGTTAGCAGTGGAGGTGAGAGAAAGGAAGAGAATCCCAGACAGGCTTCTTGCTCTCAGGGCAGAGAGAGGCCCGAAGGGGGTGCAAAACTTGACCTCACAAACCAGGAGATCCTGACCTGAGCTGAAATCAAGAGACGTTTAACTGACTGAGCCACCCAGGCACCCCAATTCTCTAAACCTCCTTAATTCCCTTTTTAATAAATCTTTTCCTTCCTTCAAATGTCTGTTGGATGTCTGCTTGTGCCAGATACGGTGCTAGGTGCTGACCACAGAATGATGAACAAGCCTGGGAAGGGACAGATGATGAATTAATCAATAAATGAATGCAACATGACCTAAAATACTTATTCAAGTTATAAAAGGATCTCCTGGGCTTCCAGAAATAGGCTCCTAGAATTGCAGCCATTCAGGCCAGGAAAATACTGGATTGGGGAGGGCCAGTAGCAGTGGAGACAATGGGCTCTGGGGCTCCGTAGGAGCCTGGAAAAAGGTGCGTTTCCCCTTTAAGAATCGCGGCCGTAGGGGCGGGGCAGAGGGCTGCTGTGGCCAGGCCCAGGCTGGAGGCCTGACGCGAGAAGAGCCGCCCCTAGGATTGCGCGCGCGCCGCGCGTGGGCGGGACTTGAGTGAGCCCGCATGGCTGGCTCGGGCCCCGGATGAGGAAGTGCGGGGTGGGGGGGCGAGGAGGAAGAAGACCATAGAGACGAAGAGACGGCGGTGGCTGGAGTGGCCCCGGGCTCTCTCTGCTCGGTAGGCTCAGGTAGCTTTGGCGGCGACCGGGCTGCAGCTGCAAAGGCCGGGCTGGCGGGGCGAGCGCGGGCCGCGGAGCAGGCCTCAGGGTAAGAGGCCGGGGGCGGGAAGGCTTCGGGCGTAGCCGCCCCGCCCCACACCACCCTGAGGGGACCCTCCGCCGGGTGTTGCAGGCTGAGGGGGAGCCCGGGCCCCCCTCCCTCTTGGGGCGCCGGAGGGAACGGAGGCTGCTCTGCGGGCGGCGGAACGACCCGGGGAGAGGGAGGAGACCAGGCCCCGCGTCGCGAGGGGGAAACGGCTTCTCCGAGTCATGGCTCCGACGGGGGAAAGATACTCCTCTTCAACCTCGATACGGCGGGGGACCCCCAACTTCTCGAGGAGGGCGACGCCCCTTGTCGTGGGCGTACGCTCTTCCCCAGCTCCTGTGCGTTTGTCAGCGGTGCGAGACCCGCTCC